TGACTCTCTATCTCTCTCCCTTCCTCTCTATAAAAAATCAATAAAATATATTTTTTTAAAAAAAAATAAATAAATAAAATGAGAACAAGTGATAAAGCAAGTGGGGCAAAAAATATTGTTTAACAGTTGAATCTGGCAGAGGGAATTCTTTGTGTTATTCTTGCCAACTGTTCCCACATAAAAGTCATTGCCAACCCCAAAGGCAGGCATGCTTCCAAACTAGAGTGGACAGCTGGAAATCAGTGTCTGGACAGACAGAAGTGTCACTGAGAAATGGGAAAATAAAGCAGGACAGACATTTCAGGATGGGGGGGCGAGGGGACGAAGTCCCGGTCGTGAGAGGCATCACAGCTCGGACCCCAGGCCCAGCCCTGGTGGACCAGCTGCAGCTCCGTCTGGGCAGGAGGGAGATGGCTGACCCCACGCCTTCGGCAGGGTCAGTAGGCCCATCCTAAGGCATGCTGCGCGTTTTACTTCCTGACCACACAAATTCGACTCTAGAATGGTTTTTCTAGGTTCTGCACTCATTTTTAACCCACTGAGACTTAGCCTTATATAGGGGATGATATCAATGCTTTCAAAATGTTTGTGGGAGCTCAAATGGGACACTTTGTTTTCTTGGGTTTTTATTAGGGCGTCTAGAGCTTTGCTGTCCAATATGGTGGTCACTGGCCTTGTGTGACTACTGAGTACTTGAAATGTGGCCATAAGTACCAGATTCTGAAGACACTGTAGTCTCCCAAAAATCTTACTTTTTCCCATCACTTATTATTTGCCAAAATGATTATTTTGAACATGGATACATTGAGCTAAGATATATTGTAAAAGTTAAATTCATCTGTTTCTTTTTACTTTTCTAATATGGCTACTAGAAATTTTAAAATTAAGTATGTGTAGTCTGACCCTGCTCTCTGGTTAGAGCGTCAGCCCTCGCACCAAAGGGTTGAGGGTTCGATTCTGGGTCAGGGGCACGTACCTGGGTTGTAGAGTTCGGTCCTGGCCCTGATCGGGGCATGTGTGGGGTCATGTCTCTCTCACATTAATGTTTCTCTGCCCATCCCCCCTGCTGTCCCTCCCTCCCTTCTAATCTCTCTAAAAATCAATGGAAAATGTGTAGCCTGTGATTTACAAGACTGGCCAATTTATAGTCATTCTTTATATTTCTCTGCCCACGTCATATAAATTGTGCAATTATCAGTAAAACCTTCATATTAAAACTGCTGCAGAACTAGTAGGTAATTAAAAAAGGAAAAATTAAACATGTGGCTGGGACATGTTTCCTATTAGACAGCACTGGTCTAGAACACAAACTCTGAACCTCCAGCAGGGGGCAGTCCTCAGTCAGATATTGTTCAAATGAGGAATGAAGTCACCATGACTTCCCACTACTTTCCCTGTGAAAAACTCATAGACTCTAGATCTAGATGACAAAGCCCTAGTCCTAGGTTATTAGGCTCCACAAAGGGCCTGGCCAAATAAGACCTTTCTCCAACTTTTCCCACGCCTTTGCCAATGAGGAGCGGTGTTCTCTTGCTTTGCCTGTGCCCGGCTTCCCCTCAACTGCTCAGGGTGCCAGCAGCCATTTAAACTGGGCAGTCATCCGAGGATGGCTGATGAGCACGACCCTTTCCATTCTTAAAACAAATAGCCAACTCCTCAAACCATCTGAAAACTAGAAGGCAGGAAAGCCTTCATTTCAAAGGCTACATTCTCTTGCTCATCCCTCGGATGCATTAGGAAACCAAGGACAGGACCTTGGGACTCCCCAAGTCCTAATGACTCCTCAGGGACAAGACGATACTAGGATGAGTTTCAAATGTCACCTGACGACTCAAAAAGCCCTGACACCTCACCCGAGGGAAGAAGTCTCCAACAAGCCCGAACCTCTAATTTCCCTGGTTTTTTTGGGGGGTTTTTTTTTTTTTTACTGCTTAATAGAATCCTTAAAAATTTTAAGTAAACATTTGGCATTTCCATAATAATATAAACCATCCCAAGTCTCCTCTCCTCTTTGTGTACCATGACTCTCTCTAAAGGACAACTAAGAAATCACAAGGTATGTTTGGAGACACACCAGGCAACACTCCTTTCATGCAGCCACCCCAGTGACAACTGCCCCGGCTGGAGAGAAGATGCACGCGTGACCTCCACTCTCTCCGTAGGCAAGAACAGTCCCCATGTCTTCCTTAAAATGGCCCCGATCTAGATCAATGCAACTGGGAATTCTGGTCCTGCAGAGGCCAGCGGGCGGCTACAAAGCCAAGTCCACAGAAGGCACAGCTCCTGGTTCCTGTCAGCTGTGGTGGCCGACCCCCCAGACCTTACCTTATCCAAGAGCTCTCTTGTCTCCTCGGTCAGAGGGTCGTGGGAAAACATGCAGTCGTCACCATTGATGCAGTTCCCAGTCGTGTGGTATAACTTACACGGAAAATCGCGTTCATGGCAAATTAAGGCAAATGCTTCACCTCATGGAACCCACCCGAGGGCAGAACCCAACCCCGTGTTTTGGAGATGAGGAAACTGGAGCCCGGAGAGGTGAGGTGACTTGCTCAGGGTGGCACAGCGGGCTGGCGGCAGACCCAATGAGACCCCACCTGCTGGCCTCGGGGCTGTGTCCTCAAATCCTCACTCAGCAGGAATAGGGAAGTTCAATGATGTGCCCAAGGTTACACAGCCAGTTGGAAAGTCTCAGAAAGATAACAGGCAATGGCATAGGCCAGTCCCAAGAGTATATGTAAAGAGAACATATTAACGTGTGGGCCTCAGTTTACTCATCTGCAGAATGGGAACAGCAGGCCCGTCATAGGACAGATGTGAGGGTTAAGTAAGATGCAGATGCACTGAAAGCTCGACACTGCACTGGCAGGGCGAGAGGAAGCGCAGTGGAGGTCAGCTGTTACTACCGACAAGGAGAGCTCTGCCCCTCAATCAGAGCAGATGTGGGCACCAAAGGATATCGTGCATGTAGGGGCAGTTCTCGGCTTTGGCACAAAACCCGGTGATGTAAAACTTGCACAGTTCTCGCTTCTTTGGTAGCTCGATGTCATGGCTGAAGTTACAGTGGTCTCCCTGGAAGAGAAGCAATGGAAAGGTCAGGCGGTGGTACGGGAAGCCCTTGCTGATCCTTCTCCAAGAAAACGCTACTCTGTCACCGCTGAAGCAGAGGGACCAACGACAGAATGAAGCCCCCTTCCCTCAGGGAGAGGCAGGTTTCCCACCAACCTCACACTTATGACCACGTGTGCGCTCCCCTGGGGCCCCTGCCTCCCTCTCCCACAGCCTCCTTCCTTCCGTCTCTATTCCTTGCCTTTCACTGCCTCCTTCTAACTCTTCTCTTTCCTTCCCTTCTTTCTCTTATCTACTATTTTTCACTATTTACTGCATGACAACCAGTGTCCAGTCCCATGCTTTCTCCTAACAGAACCCCAGTTCTGTTTGAGGAAGAATGTGCCCGGCTAAAAATATTCCATTTCCCAGCTTCCCTTAAAGTTCTGGCCACAGGTGTAGGCAAAAGTCCCTACGAGGACAACACTGCCTCAATTTTTTAAAAATACCACCACCTATTTTTCTTCCTCTAGCCTTTAGATGTGATGCCCGGAGAACATCAGCCACTGTGCAACCATGAAGACAAAAGCCACATGCTCAAGCACGGCAAAATTAAGCCGAGGAAGGAGTGTGGTCCTGCAGCGCGCCGCCGACCACTGCACAAGCCTTGTACACTATTCTGAGGGATAAACACCTATGTGCTTAAGCTAGTGGAGTTGCCTTTTTGTTATTTGCACTATGACACAATCCAAACAAAACAACACCAAGGTAAACTAAAGATAGAAATGGTTGTATACTTGTTTCAAAAGTCTTATTCTCATGAATGCCTATTCATTTTTCTTTGTTTATATGTATTACGAGCTTCTAAAAATAATATGAATTGACTGTAATAAGGAATATTTTACATACGCATGCACACTTATTGGAAGTACACATTTTTCTAGCCATATACAGAGGTGCAGTATTTCCTGGGTGCACGTTTCCCAATATCTGTCCACTGACGCTAAATGTGAATAAAAAGCTGGCTGACAGCCTTAGCCAGTTTGGCTCAGTAGATAGAGCATCGGCCTGCGGACTGAAGGGTCCTGGGTTCCATTCCAGCAAGGGCACATGCCCGTGTGGGCTTGATCCCCAGTAGGGGGCGTGCAGGAGGCAGTCAATCAATGATTCTCTCTCATCATTGATGTTTCTATCTCTCTCTTCCCTCTCCCTTCCTCTCTCAATAAAAATATATTTAAAAAATTAAAAGAAAAAAGAAAGCTGGCTGACTAACATTGGGTTATATTGTTTCCTTCAGAATTCTGTGGCCGCTGGTCCATCTTGTGGCATTCAATTCTGCTGTGAAGTTCAAGGCTGGCCTGATTCCTGCCCCTAACCAGAATATGTACATCTCTGCATTAGCATCAATCTTAATACAACATTTGAGGCTGTACAGATTTGTTGAGAACTTTGGCCAAAAATATCCTCCCCAAACCAGAAAAACCCAGATGTCCTGTTGCTCCGGCCCTTAGGTCCCTCTGAGAAGAGAACCAAGTCTCCCAGGCCCTGGAGGCACCTCCCCTCTCGGTAGTCAACCACTCCCACCAACACCGGCCTTGCCCAATGAGGTGGCCTCCAGAGCATGCCCAGGGGCCCGTGTCCTCTGGGAGGTTGCTGCCCTGCTCAGCACCCAGATCCTCTGACCCCTTACCCATGTGCACCGCCCCTCCACGAAGTATTTGCAGATGACTTTGCCTTTCTTGTCAGACTGTTGATGGGGCTTGTCATGGTCACGGCTCCGGTAGCTTCCACCGCCATCCTGTTGGGGACACAGAACACAGAGTGTGAATGTAACTAACGGGGAATGAAAAGCGAGGGCGGTGAGGGCCCCGCGGGTCAGGTGGAGACCATCTGAGTGAAGAAGAGTAATAGGAGTTGTCTAGCAGCCAGTTACATCTGACACCTCGTCTCCCATTGGTTCCTCACTTTCTCCATACTGGAATTTCAGAAAGGAGAAGAAAGGTGTCACATGGGGAACAATGAACATAGGAGTCCGAGCCCACAGTATGGAGTGCTGCTTGGATAAGAAAAGCTCTGGCACTTGGAGCTGTTGGCCATGAAGACTCGCGCACACACACTTGTGCAGGAACACATCCACCTCCTGGAGGCAGAGGCACGTGCCTTCCTGTAAAACTCTCCAGGGATAACTGAGTGGGTCACCTAGAACCTTCCAAGTCTTAGAGACTTGTTCGGGGTGACTGCAGGTGCTACAAAGACGTGGTTTTAAAAAACAGAGGGTCTTACCCTGGCCAGTGATGCTCACTGGTTGGAGCGTTGACCAGCACACCGAAAGGTCGCCAGTTTGATTCCCAGTCAAGGGCATGTACTAGGGTTGCAGGTTCAATCCCCAGGCCCTGGTTGGGGTGCGTGTGGGAGGCAACCAACCAATATGTCTCTCTCACATCGATGTTTCTCCCCCACCCTTTCTAAAAATCAATGGGGGAAAAAATATCCTCGGGTGAGATTAACAATAAAACACACACACACACACACACACACACACAACAAAACACAAAAGAGAGGGTCTCACTAGCAGTGCATCCCTATGAGAGATGATTAGTGCTTATTGGCCCTATGGGGAACGGCTCCTGGGAGCAGGGGGCCAGGGTCAGCCTCAGAGGACAACTCATTAAAGAGAAAAAAATATCCAAGGAGGGGCCTTGGGTAAACACATCAGATCAGAATGAAGAGCTGACTCACGCCCATGTCATCATCATAGAAGTCTTCATCATCGTTCATCCTACCCTTGCTCATCCCTCCTCGGCTGCCACCTCGACCTCGGCTGCGGCCCATCCCTTTGCCTCGGCCTCGGGAACCCCGGCCACGGCCTCGATTTAACCCTGCGGAGGAGAGAAATGGCATCAGCCACTGCCTGTCCCCAGAACCCAACTCTAACAGCTGCCAGAGGGAGCCCCACCAACTCGTCAACTTCTGGGCCCCCTGCCCACCTCGTCCTCGGCTATCCTTGGACCGGCGGTACTGGTTTAGCTCCTTGGAATAGTCGTCATAATCCTCGTCTCCCATTGGTTCCTCACTTTCTCCATACTGGAATTTCAGAAAGAAGAAAGGTGTCACATGGGGAACAATGAACACAGTCCCTAACTATACATTTTGGCCCCTTTGCCTTTTGGTTTCAAGGACAACTTCAGACTCAGAATAGCAGGTGAGGAATCTGGGCCTCAGGCCTGTGTCCCCTCCTCACATGACCCAGCTTGAGCATGGGTGGTCTTAATCCTTTCTGTGCAGTCGTCAGTCTTAAAACTCCCACCCCCTGGGCAAATCCATTAGGGCACCTCTGTACACAACGGACAGCTGTGCCGCTGGAACAGGACTGCACAGAAAGGTCTCGGCAGGGACACGGCAGTGAGCGTGGCAGTTCTCTGCCAGAGGAGTGAGTGTGCCGGTGCGCAAGCACACAGCACAGCGAGTAAATAAGCCCCCAGCTGCAAAGGCCTAAAACGTTTCCAGAGCCACTCGGAACCCTGTCTCCAGGGACGGGAATTAAGTCGCTGGGAAAGGAGTGGGAAAAAGATATAATTTTCACAGCTCACCCTTTGGTATCTGTTCAGTTTGAATCATATGAAAGTTTTTTCAATTTCAAAATCATATATGAACATTTAAAACACATAAGCCTGCCTGATGCTTGCTTTCCTTAGCCTTACAGGCCACCCCCAACAGTACATGCAGCCCACCAGCCATTCCCCCATTTCCGGGCAGTAGAAAACCTTACATCCATCTCATCTTCATAAAAGTCATCTTCGTCTTCTGGGTGCCCATGCCTCGGCCCCGGGACCCTCCGCGGCTTCCTCGGCCCCGGTAGCCCCTGCCACGGCCTCGACTGCCTGCACGGTGATTCAGAAAGTGAACGCCTGAGCGGGAGTAGACCCCACCAACAAGAGAGATGTTAACCCATTGTCTGCCCCTGAGGTCAATCATTTCACCCTCCTCTCCTCCTCCAAGAAGCCTTCCCAGCTTCCCCAGGCAGACTAATGGTTCCCCTGGTCCCCTCTATGGGGTGCCTCAGCATTGCAGGCACATGACTGCCACAGCACTCACTACACTGAAAGCTGCACTGTACGATATGGTAGCCACCAGCCTCGTGTGGCTTCTGAGCACCGGAAACGGGGCTGACCAAACCAGAGAGATGCTGTGAGTATAAGTACATCTGGACTGCAAAGACTCAGTGGGGGAAAAGAGAGGGAATGTAAAATATCACATCTGCCTAGTTTGCAAACGTGTTGAAATAAGCTTTTGAATGTATAAGGTAAATAAAATATATTGTTAAAATTCATTTCATCTATTTGCTTTTACTTTTTAACGGTGACTGCTAGAAAACTAAGTCACATGGCGGCTTGCATTCTGCTTCTACAGGACAGCGCTAATCTAGAATCTCCCGAAAGAGCAAGGCCTGTCCAGGGTGGTGTCCGTGAAAGACGGCTGAAAAAAAGAAGGGATAGACGGCCACTCAAACAACAAGCTGGGCCTTAGGCGGGGACACGAACCTTTGAGCTAGAAGGTTCTGGAAGCCCCCTTTGGGTGGAAAATCTCCCTGGCAGGAGATGGTTCTAAGAGGGTAGGCTGGGCCTCTGGTGCTCTGCCCTCCCCTACCATCCTTCTAACTGCCAGAGTTCAAGGTTCAGAGGTGTGGCAGGCCCACAGGCTGCAGTCACACCTTGTCAGGTGATATGAGCTGAGGATGGGGGAGGGGGTTACTGAGGGTTGTGGCATCCAATTGCCAGTCACCCTGGCCCAGATGTGAGAAGCTGTCCCTTTTCTTTCCCCTCGCTGCGGACCAGGAAGTGAATTTTCCCTCTCCCTGCCTCATACCAGCCTGGCTCCATCCCAACCAGGGCCTCAGCACTGGCCTTCTGCTCACATGGCTAACTCCCCCAAACCTTTCCTTCCGTACTTATCTCAGCCCTAAACGACTGCCGTCTCTTCTCCTGGACTGGAGGCTCCGTGAGCACAGAGACAACCAGGCCTGTCCCACTCTGCACCGCCCCTCCAGCCCCCTGCCCCAGGTCTGCTCAGACACCCTGGAGCAGAAGCTTGGGGTCTCACCTCGGCCCCGACTGCTGCCCTCCTTGGCACGCCGGTACTGGTTCAGCTCTTTGGTGAAGTCGTCGTAGTCCTCCTTGCCCATATCCTCTTCCTCGTCGCCCTCATACTCCCCGTACTGCTCGTTATCATAGTCGTCGTACATGCTGTAGCCTTTGCTGTCCATCTTAGAGTAGGACTTCTTGGGCAGGGACGTGCTGTGTGACGGGGGGTACTGCTGGTGGGACTGCCAGGGAGAGGAGGGTGAGCAGGCCCCAGGGCCTTGGGTGCAGACCACCAAGACCCTCACTATCCCTGGGAGAGATACCATCCTCGAGCTACTGGGGGACTGGTCCCCACCTGAGTGAGAGCTAGGCGGTAGGCCCAGATGTTTCTGTTCTTCAGAAAGGGCCACAGCTTGAAAGAAAATGGAGAACAGACCCCACAATCCCTGAAGAACAAGGAGAAAGT